GTAATTTTGCTTGGAGAACCCCATGAACAAAGAAGTCTAGTAGGCTATAGTCCATGGATAACAGAGTCAGACACAACTGAAGTGACTTGGCACGCACACATATCATGGGTAGTAATACTTAACAGAGAAAAGTAAAGATATAAAGAACTGTGAAGTCTGAGCTAGTGTATATAATAGCAAATGACAATTTGAAGAAAAAAGCCCAGTTAAACAAGTAAAGGAAATTCTTGTTCCTTGTAGTAAACAATCTTAGATGTGGCATGCTCCTATGGCAAGCCTCCCAAGATCTACATTTATTTTACTGTTGTTAATTATCAGGATAACAGATTTTTAAAATCATGACATGAAAGAAAAAACTAAATATAATGAAGTAAATATTATGGGAAAAGTTGGCATATGTAGCACATTAAGTTAGCGTTAGCACTGTTTTCTTCTGCACTTTAGCAGAATTTCACATGGCCTTTCATTCATCATGGACTTCCCTGGTGGCTCAGCTAGTAAAGTGTCTGCCCACAATGTGGGAGACCCAGGTTTGATCCCTGGGTTGGGAAGATCCTCCGGAGAATGAAATGGCAACCCATTCCAGTACTCTTGCCTGGAAAATCCTATGGACGGAGGAGCGTGGTAGGCTACAGTCCACGGGGTCACAAAGAGTTGGACACAACTGAGTGATTTCACTTTCTTTCTTTCATTCATCAATCTGAAGCAAGTAATTTACTTTCTTCTTTTTAATTAATTATTTTTATTGGAGAATAATAACTTTACTTTCTAAATGAATTAAAGAACACTGACTTTTTAGCAGAAGCCCAGGAATATGAAGGGCTGGACCATGATCACTTTCTCTTAAATAGACATTTCTAAAACAAACTGAAACAAGCATCCACACTGTATAATTCTGAGAAGTAAGCTAATTAATAGTCAGCTGTAAGAAAATGACAAGACATTAAAATTGCTCTACTAGAAAACTGGTACATTGAATGTTATAATAACTACATTGTGAAAATTTATTGACAGCATCATCACTGTTGTTTCTGTTGCTCAGTTGCTAAATCACATCCAACTCTTTGGGACCCCTGGACTTCAGCATACCAGGCTCCTCTGCCCTCCACCATCTCCAGGATTTGCTCAAATTCATGTCCATTGAATCAGTGATACTATTATTATTAGCCATGATCAACATTCATTATCTCACGCCCTCACAATACTTCTCTGAATAGGTTTTATGTTTTATTCCCTCACATACTTATGGGGAAATTAAAATTCATATATAATAAACTACCTGAGGTGACACTGTTAGTTAAGTACCAGAGCTAGCGCTTAGATCCAGGTTTATCTGACTCAAAATAATCAATCAGTTCTACTAGTAGAAGTTCTTAGCAGTCCTAAAGAGGAAATTTTTGCAGAGATACAAATTCCTTCAGGAATTTATAGAATAAAAATGTATGCATTATGATATGCCATTATTAAAGGTAGCAAAAGATAAGGATATTAGTACATAATACATAATAATAGGGGCTTCCCCTGAAGCTCAGCAGTAAAGAATCTGCCTGCAATGCAGGAGACAAGTGGAACACATCACATAAAGGAAAAAAAAAATAATTTTCAACAGAGATGTAGCATTGGATAATATCCTGCAGCCTTTCATGATTTAAAAAAAAAACAACAACAAACTACAAATAAAAATGAAATTTCTTCAACCTAATAAAGGCCATCTATAAAAATCTCACTGATTAACATCATACTTAATGGTTAATCAATATACATATATATTTTGCAGCTCTTATTAATATTATATTGGAAGTCTACCTGGAAAATTAGGTAAGAAAAAAGAAATGAAAAGCATCCAGATTGAAAAAGAGGAAGCAATCTCTAGCTGCAGATGGCATGGTCTTATATATAAAAAATCTTACAAAATCTAAACAACTATTAGAACTAATGACCATGTATAAGAACAACACACAAAAACATGGCAGCACTGAACAATCTAAACATAAATTAAGAAAACAATTCAATTTAGAACATCATCAAAAAGAATAAAAGAATATTAAAAACTATAAAACACTGTTGAAAGCAATTAAAGAAGATAAACATAAAGCCATTTCATGACTATGGATCAGAAATCTTAATACAATTAAAATGGCAATACTCCCTAAATTGATCTACATATTCAATGAAAATACAATTAAAATCCAACTTGGACTTCTTAAATTTACATACTTATTCTAAAATTAATATAAAAATGAAAAGTGACCCCATCCCAATGGGGCTTCCCTAGTAGCTCAGATGGTAAAGCACCTGCTTGCAATGCAGGAGACCAGGGTTTGATCCTTGGGTCAGGAAGATCCCCTGGAGAAGGAAACGGCAACCCACTCCAGTATCCTTGCCCGGTAAATCCCATGGACAGAGGAGTCTGGCAGGCTACAGTCCATGGGGTCAACAAAGAGTCCGACACGAGTGAGCAACTAACACACACCACCCCAATGAGGATGAGAAAGGGCACCTCATTATGAACTGATAAAGGGTCGAGTCTGGGCCCCCTTAATTAGACTGTGTTGGCAGGGCTTGGAGTCAGGCTACAGTTTACACTCTGGTATTTGGTGGAATTAGAATGGTTATTATCTAGAGCAGGTGGAAGCTTTCCTGGTCTTCTGGATAGAAAGAGTAGGTTTTTCTTGGGGTCTATTGTCTGACTCCATTGATATTTCTGGGTTGGTTACTTCTCCAGTACCTTGTCTGGGGCAAATGAGGCAAAAAGAGAAGCAAAATAAAATAATTAGCACATGATTTTCTCATGCATGAATTCATGATGGAAAAAAACAAAATTGTTTCTTTTCTTGTTCCATAATGGGCCATAAATCGTCAACATTTACATTACAAAGACAACTAATCAACCAAGAAAACATTGATATTTTTCCTATCTAAATTACTTTAGTTTTTCCATAGTACTACAAAGTTGATTGTCAGTATCTTTCTAAGACACTTTGGTATACAATAATTAATTATCAGATATATCCTTTGTAAGAATATTGTAGTATCTTTGTGCAAACTGTGAAGCTCACCAACAAATCAATACAGAAGGCTATATAAAAAGTATTTACACTAAAGTTTCATGCTATAAGAGAATTTATATACTTTACGTACTAACTGACTACAAGTATAAAATGATAAATATAACTTTGTAGGTTACTTTATTTGATACCTAGTCCTTTTAAGCAAATTGAAATAAATACATAATGCCTGAAACTTCTAAATTCTTTTTCTAAATGAGCATCCCATAATGATATGAGACAAAGAGGTGAAATGAGTAGTTCTCAACTAATTTTCTTTAAAATGTAATTTACAAAATATATTTGCAAAGTTGTCACAAGTGCTTTTAAACTTATTATTTGACAGCATTGAAAGTAATACACAATAAACATATTTTTAGCAAAGGAAATATGTAGAGCCAGAACCAAAAAAATTTTAAATATCAAATACTAAGTTTTTCAGAACACAACAATTTAAGTACTTTCACAACATTTAATTTAGAATTCATAAATATAAATAAGCAAAACATAAATTCATCCAAGAATACATCACATAATATGCCAGAAGGATTATGTAAATTCCATTATTTTAATTCTTCCCACCCTTAGCCTTAGGACAAAAGAGAAAATGGTTCAAAATAGATCCTATACACTTTCCTCCAACTCAATAACTATAAAGCTGGTTTATATTAGTAGAACAAAAAATTCACAACATTATAAAGAAAAGAGCCAATAATCACAGCTATAAAAAGCAGAAATTTTAAAATAGCCTTCTCAGGAATGGCACAAGTTTCTGTATTGGGTGTGGTCATAAAAATGACCTTCCAGGTCCCAAGACATATCTACCAGACTATTTTAATACCTTCAGTTTTTTAAAAAGTGTCTTCAACTTAAATTCTGGATCTATTCCTTTTACTACTTTTATTCAAATAACTTGTTATAGGAAGCTTTTTGACATTAAACTGCCAGCTAATTAAAATGAAATGACCTTCTATCTTGTCTAGGGATGGAGTTGAATCAACAAATAATGTCTACATTCCACAAATGATAGAAGGATTTTTTAAAACAGTTATTGTAATACTTAACAATAAAAATAAACTAATGCCTATTTATACAGATAGAATTAAGCCAATTATGGTGCATGTATATATATATATTTGTGTGTGTGTGTGTGTATGTGCATGTGTATAAATATAGAATGCAACAGTATAGAACAATGACAAAAATAGGATAAGTTTATATATACTGACAAGAAAACATATACTGACAAGTAAGTATAGCAAGAAACAAAAGAATAGACTGAGTAGAAGAACATATTTCTAAAAGCAAATCAAAATTATATAGCTTGATATGAGTAAATATGTGTGTGTATATATTTAAATATATAGAGAAATCTCTAGAAGGATGGACATCACCATTCACACATGATTTCTGGGGAGAACTGTTGGAATTTGATTTCAACAAGAAAGTAGTCCTTAATTACTTCATGGGAAAAAAATGATCTAAAATGAAATTTAGGAAGGAAAAGATTTTGTCGTTAAACTCTGAATTTGCTTTAAATGTTTAAGTTTATGCAGGCTTTGCTTATCCAGAATAATACTGAATATATCACTGATATTGATACTTACTTAATGTCAAATCTATTTAACTTGTTTAAAAAAAAAGTATGACAATAATTTTCAGATTTATATATCTTTTTTTTCCTATAAAATTAGAATCACAGTAAAGACCAAAAAAGCTAACCTAGCAATTTAATTCTAGAGTATTTTGTCTTAAAACTTCAATCCTGCATACTCAAATATTCCGTAAGTTCTCAAATGCAGAGCAACATCTAACATTACCTTTGTAACTTATCAAGTATGCTTTCAATGAGCACAAATTCTATAATTTGTGAAGATTTGCATATACATAATGTTTTTACTAAAATCTGACAAACTTTAAAAGAATAAAGGAAACAGACTCTCAAATCATTACCTTATATTCATCCACTATAATGCTGAGGGCTTCATGTCCCGCTTTCCTCATATCTTCCAATTCTTGTTTATGCTTTTCCTGAAAGAAAATAAGAAACTAAGCATGATTCTTGTTTGTTGTTGTTGCTGTTGTTTACAAAATAACACACCACTGACTTTTGCATTTATAAGTGATGTGAGTGATTTGTGGCACACCAATGTTGCAGCTGAAAACAAAGAGAAACCCATTCAAAAAAACTTTCTGTTTAAAAGCATTCTGAAGATAGCAATGAGAGATAAATGGAAACCATAACTGGGAAAGGGTAACCAGGCTTACAGGTAAGATAACCCAAGGCAATGGTGTTATTCCTTGAGACATCTGGCAATTGTGGACCTGGATCTAGAGACAGGAGGCCCTGTGTCATCCAACAAGCCAGGACCTTTTTTGTTGTTGTTATTTCTCCAGTAATACACACGTGTCAATAATTCAATATGTAACAAAATTTGAGAACCACTAGATTAAGGAGAACAAACCCTCATTCTACCTTCGGAGCAAAGGAGAAGCTGAACTCTGTTTGAAGAATATTAGCATCCTACAGAACCTTTCCAATTTTTCAAACACAATGTAAAGCTTTCAGTGCAAAATTATCAGAAATAATAACAGATGAGACCAAAGAAACATAGAATAGAAAAGACAAAAGAAATAGACCAATGGGTGATTCAGATTTTAGTTATCAAAAAGTTTCAATATTTATGAATAAATACACACAAGAAAATAGAGAAGTGGGGAAAGTGGATATTACAGAGAATTTCTTCAGAGAATTGGAATTCATAAAATAAATTCTACAGCTCAATGCGATAGATGAGGTAAATAATAGATAAAACAGCAGAAAGCAGGATTAGAGGACCAAAAGGTATTGGGGAAAAACCTATAAATGATTGAAAATATATTTTTTAACAAAAACCCTTTAAAAAGACAAGAGACAAAGTAAAAAGGCAAATATTTGTGTAAAAGAATTGCTAAAAAAAATAATCCAAATAAAGAAGAAAAAATAAAATCTAGCAAGACAGGAACAATAAAGTGGTGAAGAAAATAAAAAAGAAAATTTTTTAATATTATTCATGAATTCAAGATATTATACAACCTATAGATTTTTCTAAACAAATAGTAAGATATTGCTAAATATTACAGCAATAAATAAGAAATTTTAGGTAAGATGAAAAAACTACCAGGGGAAAAAAACAAAACTGAAACAAGATGAAATGAAAATTCTGAAAAATTTTGTATGTGTTAAAAAAAAAAAACTGAACCTATATTACATTAAAAACAAAATAAAACTTCTGACCAAGAAACATATAAGTACAGATTATTTAAAAGGTTACTTTTAATAAATAATTAATAAACAAATAACAGAACTCTTACACAAAATCTTCCAGAGAATGAAAAAAGAGGGAATATTTCCCCACATATTTTATTAAGAAAGCATATCCCTTATACTAAAATCTGCAAAGATAAAATTATGAACCAATCTCTTTTATGAAAACAAAAACTAAAATTCTACATAAAATATTAGTAAGTAGAATCTAGCAATAAATAAATAATACATCTCAATCAAGTATGATTTATTTTAGGAATGTCAGGTAGGCAGCAGTGACGCACACCATTTCAGACCTGAACCACAAAACCTCCAGCAAATCCTCCACACACTTCCTTTGTCCCCCGCTATTTGCTTGCAGATGTCATTGCCTTGGATGATGACTGAAGACATGTGCTGCAAACAGCAGGAGGGCCTCTGTCAGCCTGGGACTTGAATGACTACACCACCTCAGTGGACTTGGTGAGAAAACTAATGATATTTAGGATAAAAGACAAGAAAAACAGTTCTTGTTCATTTATTGTTGTGAGAGTGTGTGCCAACCTGCCTTGCTCATGTACAGTTCTGTGCGACTGTATGGACTGCAGCCCTCCAGGCTCCCCTATCCATGGGATTCTCTAGGCAAGAATACTGGAGTGGGTTGCCATGCCCTCCTCCAGGGGATCTTCCTGACCCAGGGATCAAATCCTCAGCTCTTATATCTTCTGCATTGGCAGGTGGGTTTCTTTACCACTAGCGCCATCTGGGAATGTTACCAATTCCTCATTTATAAACTGCTTATACTTAACTTATTCAAGAATTTCTATTTCATTATCAAATTCTAATTGCCTTTTCCAGTATATAGCTTTATGTATCTTTCTGTAGCTAAATTACTCTTTACTAAAATAGCCTAAACATAAAGGACCAATAAGGGCCCTTGATATAAACACTGATTTTTTTTGGTATGATTATCAATCTATGGCTCATGGCAGCAATCTTTTTTTAAAGTCAATTTCCCATTTCTGCAAAAGTTGTTTTCACTTCAGTCGCTCAGTCATGTCCAACTCTTTGCAACCCCATGAACCGCAGCAAGCCAGGCCTCCCTGTCCATCACCAACTCCCGGAGTCCACCCAAACTCATGTCCATTGAGTTGGTGATGCCATCCAGCCATCTCATCCTCTGTCATCCCCTTCTCCTCCTGCCCTCAATCTTTCCCAGCATCAGGGTCTTTTCCAATGAGTCAGCTCTTTGCATCAGGTGGCCAAAGTATTGGAGTTTCAGCTTCAACATCAGTCCTTCCAATGAACACCCAAGACTGACCTCCTTTAAGATGGACTAAAGAGTTGTTTTAGTCAAAACTAAATAACAAAGCAGCAAAATCCAAACACCTAGTAAAGCAAGCTCATACATTCCATTACAATAAAAACAAGCAAACACATGTGGGCAGCACCACCAACTCATCACTTTGGAATGCCCATTCAGGTCAGGTCATATCACTGATGGTATGTGACTTTCACAGAGATACCTAGGAGGGCAAAGGTATCAATTTCTATGATGAATAATAACATAGACTTTGTTTTTCTTAGTTTTCAAGATTTAAAAAATTAAAGAGAAATAGGTATTATAATATTTTCTTTTCACATCACAGTAGAACATCTTAGGTAGATCTTGAGATGCATATACTGTATCTTAAGACCACTGATTAATAACAAACTCATATAAAATAGGTTACATGGGCAAACAAACTCTGGAAATTAACAATATATATTAAAATATAGAACCTTCTACAAACCCAGAAGTAAAGAAACAATTGAACTTTACTAAAACTGGATTTTTCAGACTTAACTAATTAAATGTTAATTTACTTTTTTCGCTCATTGACAATACCTATTACCAGCTAATCTCTTTAGTTCAAAATTGAAATTTAGAACCAAAAAGCTCCAAAAGCTTTTCAGTGTTTTACAATCTAAAGCAAAGCAAATTCATTTAGATCTGCTAAATGAAACAGAATATATTCTACTTTTACATCATTATTTAGAAATAAAGATGAATATGCACCATTTCAATAATAAAGTTTGACCATTCAGCAACTATGGTTCTGAATGATGACATGAACCATTAAAAAGTATTGGGGTGCTATTAAAGGCACACATAGAGTACAATATATTAAGCAATTCATATAACAGGTCTTTCAAATAGACATTTTATAAATGACAAAAATGTTCTATGACATATTTTATTGCAGTTGAAAATAAACACTTAACCGATGGCTACATCTTCTTTCATTGAAGGGACAGCAATCTACTGCTTTGCACATGCCTTAGAATACAGCATGTGCTAAGTTGCTTCAGTCGTATCCGACTCTTTGTGACACCATAAACCGTAGCACGCCAGGCATCCCTGTCCATCACCACCTCCCGGAGTTTACCCAAACTCAGGTCCATTTAGTCGGTGATGCCATCTAACCATCTCATCCTCTATCTCCTCCCGCCTTCAATCTGTCCCAGCATCACCGTCTTTTCCAATGAGTCAGCTCTTTGCATAAGCTGGCCAAAGTACTGGAGTTTCAGCTTCAGCATCAGTCCTTCCAATGAATATTCAGGACTGATTTCCTTTAGGATGGACTGGATGCATCTCCTTGCAGTCCAAGGGACTCTCAAGAGTCTTCTCCAACATCACAGATCAAAAGCATCAATTCTTCTGCACTCAGCTTTCTCTATAGTCCAACTCTCACATCCATACATGACTACTGGAAAAAACATAGCCTTGACTAGATGGACCTTTGGTGACAGAGTAATGTCTCTGCTTTTTAATATGCTGTCTAGGTTGGTCATAACTTTCCTTCCAAGGAGTAAGTGTGTTTTAATTTCATGGTTGCAATCACCATTGACAATAATTTTGGAGCCCAAAGAAATAAATGAGAGAAGACTGAACAACACATACACTAACTATAAGAAATGAAACTACAGAATACACCACTCAACAACAGAATACACATTAAGCTCAAGTAGACATGAAACAATCTCCAGGATAGACTACAAGGTAAACCACATAACAAATTTTAATAAATTTTAAAATACTGAAGTCATACAAAGTATTCTCTTCAACTACAAGGGAATGCAATTTGATATAATAGTGAAAAGTTGAGAAAATTCACAAATTTGTAGACATCAAACAACATATTCCTATATAACCAACTAGTCAAGAGGAAATCACAAGGGAAATTTAAAATTTACACTAAAAAAAGAAAAACAACAAACCAATAACCTCACCTTTCACTTTAAAGAACTAGAAAAAGAAGAATAAACTAAACCCAAAGCAAGCATAATGAAGGAAACTAAAAGAATAAAAACAAAAGAATAGAAAATCAATACAGAAGATCAACTGGACCAGAGTTGGTTCCTTTTAAAAAATCAGCAATATGACAAACATTCATTGACCAAGGCAGGAAAAAAAAGAGAAAAGGGATGAGTCAAATTAGTAAAATTAATAACAAGGAAAGGGCTTATTACTGAACTTAAAGAAACAAAAAGGAACATACAAAAATATTCAGTTCAGTTCAGTGGCTCAGTCATGACCGACTCCTTGTGATCCCATGAATCGCAGCACGCCAGGCCTCCCTGTCCATCACAAACTCCTGGAGTCCACCCAAACCCATGCCCATCAAGTCGGTGATACCATCCAGGCATCTCATCCTCTGTCGTCCCCTTCTCCTCCTGCCCCCAACCCCTCCCAGCATCAGGG